ACTCACCAACAAAATACAACTAGGGTTAAATAACCCACAAAATAGGATTTCCTTAATTAAGAATTTCCTTCTAAATAGGAGATAATAAAATAAGGTGCAATTGTAACCCAAAGGCAAGGGACCTATTTATACTAAAAAGATCCTACACATCTTTGGTACACATTCGATGTGGGACAAAACTTAATCAAAAAACTAACACCGGTTTCCGGATCCACAGGAAACCAACTAATCCGGAATCGAGCCGGGTAGGACCACAAGGACGGCAAAGTTTTCCCTCAAGAGTTTTAACACTGCTGCATTCCCTAAGACATCAAATTTGTGTTGTTAGTTATGTAGTTATGTTGCTTTTGTTTGGAATGGCAAAAGAACAAAACGAACCAGTTATTTTACAGTTGAAAACCAAGACTCAAGAAAACTGTTGCAAAGAATTGTGTGACAAAAGGCACAAGATCCGATCTGATTATCAATCAAGAGACCCGCTCAAGAATCAAGAATGAACAATCAATCAAACACCTAATTCACCGCGGGCCCCACCTCCTCCTCCGCCACATCCACAATCTCATCACCGTTCTCCTGTGGGTCCAGGCGGCGGCAGCAGATCTCCTCAATCCTTGCCACGACCTCCGCCATGTTGGGCCGCCGGTCAGGGTACTGTGCGGTGCAGTCGACCGCCAGCTGGAGGAGCTGGACCATATCCTCCTCCACACTCTGGTAACGGAGTAGTTCGAGGTCAAAAACCTCAGCCGTCCACTCCTCACGCACCACCGACTGGACCCACCGCGGCAGATCCACCCCTTCCTCGCCGCCCGGAGCCTTACCCGTCAGCAGCTCCAGCAGCAGCACCCCGAAGCTGTACACGTCAGCCCGCTGGCCCACCTTGCGAGGGTCCGTCACCTCCGGGGCACGGTAGCCCGTCAATCGGTTGGGGAATGCTGCTGGGCCGGAGAGCTGGGCCAGCCCGAAGTCGGAGACCCGGGCCTCGTAGGACTTGGTGAGGAGGACATTGGACGACTTGATGTCGCCGTGGGAGACGGTAGGCCCGCACGAGTGAATGTGGGCTATGCCACGGGCGGCCCCAAGGGCGATGGTTGCTCGGGTTTCCCAATTTAGTGGGGTCCGCCTGGAGCCCTTGTTTCCTGCAAGAATTCGGAAAATCAATTGTTTATTAGTTACTTGCTTCCTCCAGCAAACACATTAATGTTGACTAAAATGGTTTTCGTTTGCCAGTAGATAAAACAGAAGACAGATGGTATGGAGATGAAACAAGACAAGTCTTGAATATTAGACCGTTGGGGACTTGATTGATAAGTGATGATAACTCACTCTCAGCTGCCAAAGTTACCAAAGACAGTAATAATAGTATTACATTGCTATGTCCCATTTGACATGTTCATTTCAACAGTGCATTCTCAATTCTCAGTTCTTGGATTCAAAATTCCAAATCAAAGATAGCGAAAGCAAAATTCAAGTAGATGACTAAATTGTTCAATCAGATCAATAACAATTGAGAAATGAGTATAATTCAAGAAACTGATAAGATTTTGTATACCGTGTAACAAAGCAGATAAGCTCCCCATTGGCAAGTAATCGTAGACGAGCAGCTTCTCGTCCCAAGTATAGTGATAAGCTCTCAAAGGCACCAAATTCTCGTGATTAATCCTCCCAATTTCTTCCATTTTCTCCTTGAACTCCTTCTCCCCCATGCTGACATCCCTCAGCCTCTTCACCACCACCGCCAGCCCGTTTACCGTCACGGCCTTATACGCCGTCCCAAACGTGCCCTTCCCTAGAACCTCGGCTGATGCCTTCAAAAGATCATCCAGATCAAAATTCCACCCCATTTTCCCCAAGAAAATCAACCCTTTTGTCTTCCCACCACTAATCAAACTGCTTTCTCCTTTCTCTTTCTCCTTTGCTGCTGAAACTGCACTAAGCCTGTCATCATTTACTCCGCCACCACTATCGGGCACTGGAATTTCGAGTTCCTTCTCCTTGGCCACAGCTCCATCATTATTGGATCTTGATCCCTTTCTAGCCAACACCCTACAGAAGCAGAAAATAAGCAAAAGGATCAAAAGAAACCCTAATGCTGAGCCAATTATGATTCCGGCAAGTGCTCCGCCAGAGAGTTTCTTCTTTGGCCTACAAGAAGCAAGCGGCTGACCGCAGAGCGCATTCCCAGCGAACGAGCTCCGGGGTTTATCTGAAAGCCCTCTAGGGATCTCGCCGGTGAGGTTGTTGTTGGACACATCGAACTGAACGAGGCCTGGCAAATTCAGATCGGGAATGCGGCCAGAGAAATGATTGCCGTGCAGGTAAAGCGTGCCCAGGCGGGTCAGATTCTGGAAGGAAGGGGAAATCGGGCCGGAGAAATTGTTCTCGGCAAGATTGACCCGCACGAGGGATGTGAGAGAGAAAAGCGAGGCAGGGATTTCGCCAGTGAAGAAATTGTGCTGCAGGTAGAGGTTGCGGAGGGAGGCGAGGGAGAAGAGGTCCGGCGGGAGGGGGCCGGATAGGGCGTTGTATCGGAGGCTGAGTGTGTTCAGATTGGTGATGTTGGAGACGGTGTTGGGCGGCAGCTGGCCGGAAAGGCCCATCCCGGGGAGGTGGAGCTCGACGACGGATGAGTTGTCCGGCGAGCAGATGACGCCCGGCCACACGCAGGTGGGGCTCGAGAGGTTCCAGAGGAGGACGCGGCCGCCCACGGCGGATCGGAGGCCCAGGAGAGCGGCGCGGTCGGAGGCGAGGTCGGAGGCCGCGGGGGTAAAAAGGAGGAGGAGGAGGATGGCGGCGGCCTGGAAGAGGTGGAGGAGAAGGAGGCGGTGGTGGGTGCTCATGGATTTCGACATTTTTTTTTTCCTTAAAAAAAATACTCGTAAATCGGGAATGGTGTGAGTGTTTCGTGGGTATTTGTGAGGTTCTTCAAAGGAAGTCAAAAAGAAGCTTTTTTTGCGGAATTGTTTGATTTTCTTCTTGCTGTCATTGTGCGTTTTCTAGAGAGAGAGAGAGAGAGAGATAGCCTGTGAACTGTAAATGTGACCTGTTTAGAAAAAAGAGGGAGTAGAAGGAGGAGGAGGAGTTCTGGGATTGGGCGCTCCTATTAAATTAATCAAAAGGAAGATGCTCGAGTCCGTTAACAGAACCATTTCGTCGAGTTTAAAATCGTTAGATCAATTATTTTTTACCGTTATATTATAATATAATGGTTACAAATTTTGACGGAATGTTTCGATAACGGGCCGCAGCATTCTAGTTAGACTATGTTTGGGAAACCAAATAAGCTAGCTTATAGCTTATTTGGTTAGCTTATAAGCTTCCTGTACTCAAATAAGCCCCGTTTGATAGGACGAGTTTATTTAAAAAGCTCGAGCTTATTTGATAAACTTGTTTAGGTAGCTTTTCAAATAAGCTAGTTTAATTTTTTATTCCAGCTAGCTTATCAGCTAATTTTACCAAACACTTTTATCATATAAGCTAACTTTTCAGCTATAAGTGATAAGCTATAAGCTATAAGCTCGAAAATTACATATAAGCTATAAGCTAGCTTATCAGCTATCAGCTAACTTCATCAGCTAGTTTTACCAAACATACCCTTAGAAAACCCATGTTACACATTCGTTGGGCCCACTAATTTTATATTTTCACCATAATATTTTTGTTTGTGCAATTTAATTAGGGGTATTTAAATGACGGTTTTAGAATTAAATTATGAAAATATATAATAAGTATATAATCAAATTGTACACATTTTGTTATCTTATTCGTTTTCCAATATTCCCAATAAT